TCTTGTTGTTGGCTCAACAGTGCGGTGTACATCTGCTTCTGCTGACTCAACATCTCTGTTGCGCCACTGAAATATAATCCTCTTCTGCCTCAACATCCTCGTTCGCTTCTGATTTATTAGCTCTTTTCCCTCTTGGAGGCATTTTAATAGTTGTAGAATTTGTTCAAAGACTTGAAAATGTAGAAGATGTGAAAAATCGTAGAACAGACAAGAGGAGCAGTAAAGACGTCTGCTCTCGCTTGCAACCCGGGTTACGCAGGAGAAGAAACAAGATGCATACATCATGAACCAGTCACACCAGTTCACCTCAGATTGGAAAGCAAAGTCTAATTTACACCACAGAGTAAAGATAATGTCACTCAAACCAGAGCCCGGGGCTTTATGTATCTTGATACAGGTAGAGGTTTAGAACCGGAGCAGGCCTTAGGTGAGATGACTGTTTGTTCATCTAATTACACAAAGGATCTAAATGCTAACGATACTGATAGCTAACATGATATCTGCATGTCTATTACATTTCATATTAGCCACAAAAGATCTGGTCAGAAGGTGTGGTAAACATTTTTCTTCATATGAGCTGTCAAACACAATAACAGATTAAACCCTGAGATGAGGATGCTCACACCATAGATGGACAAAAAAAACCTTTGCCTGTTTAGTTTTGTAGATTATAACAACTTCAAATTATTTCCAAGCCAAGTCTTGTGAAATCTGCACCCTACTCACAAAGAGTCCACTTGAGGCCCCTGGTGGACTCTCAAAATTCCTGGGATCATGCCTGTCTGGACATTTGGATTCAGTCACACAAAAAGAGTAAAACAAACAAACCGGACAAAGTCCAAAAGCAATGACCTCTGACCTCCAGTGTGTTGCTGACTCTCTGCAGATAGAGTGCCTCTTGCTGGACGAAGCTGATGTAGCAACTCTTTGTCAGAATCCCGGACTGCAGCTCTCCCAGGAAGGGGGACGAGTAGAGAATTTCTTCCGCCAACAAATTACTGAAGCTCCACACAACATCAAACAAACTCACACCGGGCACAATGCCTGCAGAAGGAGGGAGCGTAGCGTGAACATCATCACCTCATTGGATAGTTTTAGTTGTGCTAGCAGCGTAGCTCTAGAGATGACAATGTCAAGCCTCACCCTGACTTCTGCTCTAGAGCCACCATGAGGTTGACATTTGGGATTTTGAGTGAAATGTCTTTTGATTGGACTGTCCTAAAATTTGACTCTGATGTTCATGTTCAGGATGAATTATAATAATACTGGGGATAAGTACTTTGGTTCAGGAACAAATACCTGCAAAACTAATATAACTATATTTTGTGTATTGTATTATACTGGAATACTACTACAACCAGTAACCTCTCACCTGGTTTACTGCTGCTGGGGATAACAGCGGATCTGGAGCTGGAGATAAACAGAGGAGATTACAAACAAGCACTTAAAATTTGGGTATTGCTATGTTTCCACTAACGAGCTTAACAAGCGGTACACCTCGTGCTTCCCTTAACCATCATCAAGCGTAGCTCCCGCAATTGACGCCGACCATCCTGCTTTGTTTTTCCACTGTATTTTCTCTCTGTTGGTCTCTGTTTAGAGGAGGGAGGTGCTGCCCCTCTCTCCCACACAGTCAGTTGTGTGTTTACATACGGTGCTTGTAACGCTAACGCTTGAGGTGTGAAGACAATGGCAAATGCTCTGTGTGCATGCACCCCCTCCCCTATCACGGCCCTGGTACTTGATTTTAGTACTACTTCCTCAGGGGTGCTGAGATTAAGCTCCCAGAATGCACCTCCAAAGCAGGCTGAGTGTGGTGGAAGCACACATATAACCCATAATGAGTGTAATTCGGCTCTACATGTTTCGGTAGGTTCCCATAATAGAAAAATCTCTCATGTGACAGTTATTCCACAACTTATGAACGGGCAGATAATACAATACTGTCTCAAGATTCAGACACACATGGTTGATAATCACACTTCAAGATTTTACATTTCATTTCTTTTTGTATGTGCATTTGCAGCTGAGTGTGAAGCAGCTGAAATGAGAGTCAGCATGTGCACTGGAACAACGCTGCTTTCAGACATGAGCTTACTTGGCTCTGATGCAGCAGATGTAGAATCTGAGCTCTCCACAGGGGGCGCTGTGCAGCCTGCCACCTGAACACAAACACAGATATGTTTGTTTACACTTTGAGGTTCTGTTTTATTAATTTTTTACAGAAAGGATAAAAGTGAAGTATTTTTTATTTAAAAGTACTGGAAAAGAAAACCAACACTTTTTTCATTTTTATGCCTCCACGTGAGGCGTTAAGTTTTCAGGTCATCCGTCTGTCCAGTCCATTCTTGTGAATATGATATCTCAGAGAGGCTTTGAGGAAATATTTTAAAATTTGGTACAAATATCCACTTGAATTGATTACATTTTGGTGGTCAAAGGTGAAGGTCATGGTGACCTCACAACTGTCCCATTTCCAGGAATTTGACTGCAAAGAAGTAATTCTCGTTACATTAAAGGATAAGAATAATCACCTTTATTTGGCAAAGTATGTTACACACAAGGAATTTGTTTCCAATACAGAACCGAGGCAGCCATTTGCAGCGCCAACTCAACTGATGGCTCTAACCATCAGGGGCAACGGGGGGTTCAGTGTCTTGCCCAAGGACACTTCAACATGTGGACCGCAGGCACCGAGATTCGAACCCCTGGTTGGGAAATAACTACTCTACCCACTGACCCACAGTCACCCTGCAAAACCATTGAAAGGGGTGTGTTAAAAAAATAGCAGTGTGGCATTCAATCAGTGAGGTCATCAATTTTGTGAAATAACAGGTGTGAATCAGGTGGCCCCTATTTAAGGATGAAGCCAGCACTTGTTGAACATGCATTTGAAAGCCTGAGGAAAATGGGTCGTTCAAGACATTGTTCAGAAGAACAGCGTACTTTGATTAAAAAGTTGATTGGAGAGGGGAAAACCTATAAAGAGGTGCAAAAAATTATAGGCTGTTCAGCTAAAATGATCTCCAATGCCTTAAAATGGAGAGCAAAACCAGAGAGACGTGGAAGAAAACGGAAGACAACCATCAAAATGGATCGAAGAATAACCAGAATGGCAAAGGCCCAGCCAATGATCAGCTCCAGGATGATCAAAGACAGTCTGGAGTTACCTGTAAGTACTGTGACAGTTAGAAGACGTCTGTGTGAAGCTAATCTATTTTCAAGAATCCCCCGCAAAGTCCCTCTGTTAAAAAAAAGGCACGTGCAGAAGAGGTTACAATTTGCCAAAGAACACGTCAACTGGCCTAAAGAGAAATGGAGGAACATTTTGTGGACTGATGAGAGTAAAATTGTTCTTTTTGGGTCCAAGGGCTACAGACAGTTTGTGAGACGACCCCCAAACTCTGAATTCAAGCCACAGTACACAGTGAAGACAGTGAAGCATGGTGGTGCAAGCATCATGATATGGGCATGTTTCTCCTACTATGGTGTTGGGCCTATTTATCGCATACCAGGGATCATGGATCAGTTTGCATATGTCAAAATACTTGATGAGGTCATGTTGCCTTATGCTGAAGAGGACATGCCCTTGAAATGGTTGTTTCAACAAGACAATGACCCCAAACACACTAGTAAACGAGCAAAGTGTTGGTTCCAAACCAACAAAATTAATGTTATGGAGTGGCCAGCCCAATCCCCGGACCTTAATCCAATCGAGAACTTGTGGGGTGATATCAAAAATGCTGTTTCTGAAGCAAAACCAAGAAATGTAAATGAATTGTGGAATGTTGTTAAAGAATCATGGAGTGGAATAACAGCTGAAAGGTGCCACAAGTTGGTTGACTCCATGCCACACAGATGTGAAGCAGTTATAAAAAACTGTGGTCATACAACTAAATATTAGTTTAGTGATTCACAGGATTGCTAAATCCTAGAAACAAAAACGTTTGTACAACATAGTTTTGTGTTTGTACAGTCAACGGCAGACACTATTTTTTTGAACACACCCCTTTCAACTAATTGCCCAATTGCACAGCCTTAAGAGCGTGCATATCATGAATGCTGGGTCTTGTTTGCTTTCTGAGAATCTACTGCACCTACTGGTAAATTGTTTGCCATGTAGCAATAAAAAATATACTAAAAACCTGGATTATTCTGGTTAGTCACATTGTACTGCTATTATTTTGAACAATACTGTAATTAAAATTTTGTCTCCAAAGTGATGTCGTTTTTTTAACAGTTTTCAGATTTCAGCCATATTTTATTCAGGTGTAGCTTCACTATGGTACATTCTGTTAGGGTGCACTTGATACGCTGCAAAACAAGCCTGGCTCAAGGGCGATACAATCAAGTGTTAAAGTGTTTAGTAGCAGCTACTGAAAGTAGGTGCTTAGAGATAAAGTCAGTGGAGGAGAAAAAGAAACAGGAGGGGATTTTGTTTGCTTGTGAGGATGAAAAGGCAGGAAGCAAATAATTTAGAACAGGCAAGATGCAGGTAGAGACTGGCAAGTTAGGGTAGAGTTAGGAAATCAGTCCTCAGTTCCTCAGGAGATATTCAGCACTAACCTCAGACCAGACCTTGTGCTGTGGTAGATGCACAGCAAACTGTGTATTTTGTGGAGCTTACAGTTTCCTGGGAGGATTCTGTACAAGGAACTTATGAAAGGAAAAACTAAATACACATAACTGGCTACAGAGGAGGAGATATGACTGGAAAGATCCACCCTGCAGATGTTTGCTGGAGAGGTTTTGTTGGTAGAGCTATGTTTTCTCTGATATGTGAGTTAGGATTAAAAGGGTGGATAGTTTTGTTGGCAGTAAAAGTGCTTGTCTAACTGATGGGCCTTTGTGACAGATTTTTATTTAGAAATAATAATCAGCCAGAACAAGTTCTTCTCTTTGTCTGTCTGACAAGTATGCTGCCAGAGGTGTGCAATAACAATGCTTTCATGTGGGTCTGGCAAAATTAGGTCTTGTTTGCCATTGGTCACGACATTTAGGGAAACAATACAAGCTTCAATGCTAGGCTTCATTTGAAAACACCTTCTCTGCTTGACATGCCCTTAAAAGCTTAGGCGTCACATGTAACATTGCTGCGTAAAACTGTAAGCTCCACATGGTCACGACATTTAGGGAAACAATACAAGCTTCAATGCTAGGCTTCATTTGAAAACACCCTCTCTCCTTGACATGCGCTTAAAAGCTTAGGCGTCACATGTAACATTGCTGAGTAAAACTGGTAGAACAGATGAAACTAAGTTCTAATGTGCTAACAGGACTGCTAAATTGAGGCAAACTGTTACGGGAGGATGGGTTGTTGTTGTTTTTTTTTTATTATAAATGTTTGATCCATCATTCAGGTTTACTAGCATTAGAAGGCTAACATGAGGTTAAAGAAGAGTTTTGGATTGTTTGTTAGAGTGATTATCAAGGCAGGGTGCATATTGGTTGACTGCAAAAAGTAGTAGAAGTTTGACAGTTTTATCTGAAATGTTTGATGGCTAGGACGGCATGTCGCTAACAGACAGCTAACAGTTAGCTGATATTGTTGGAGGACTGTGTTGGCTGTGTGGTTGCGGGCAAAGAAGGGTGTGGTTCTGGGAAGCTGGAACACACTGTTGAACCTTACCGGTTCAACACCACCTCGGCCTGTGTTTTGAGGGATGTGACAGTTATTAGATAATTGAGCAGGCCCAGCTCTTAGATATGGTTACCTGCTAAGCCAGCTGAATCAGCCACTGCCTAGCCCGAGCAAACACAATGCAGATGCTGTGTGTCAAGCCACATATCTGCTCTTTTCTTGGGTGAGGATAGGGTTCAGGAATGCTTTGTGTTTGGGGTAGGTTAGGTCTGGAAAATGATGCTGCTTATTGTGGGGCCCTGAAGATTTATGATGCCATGGCGTCTTTGTGGCCAAATAATGTATAAACATCATTTAACTCATATACTGAGCTTCTATACGAATGCTCTCCCATTCTCTGACACATTTAATTCTGCATTATCAACTTAGGCTCCTGTTACAACTGATATTAACATGTGATCTATCTAATCTAATTATTCATTCATTCATTTTTACCTTTTGGCTCCATTTCCATGCAAGCCCCGCCCTCCCTGGTCTTCCCCTGTGTCTCATTGGTCCAGCTTTTGATCCTGACAGGGGAACCATCACTCCAAAACCAGGAGTCATTCTTCAGAGAGGAAAACAGGAAGACAGACAGAGGGGTGTGTTAAAATTAGGTCCTCAAATAAATCCAGGAGCCCACTTTACAGCGACATCTCACCTGCTGTGCCTGGTATCCACCCAGCCACACTGAAGTGTTTGTGAGCTGACGGACAAACTGATGCTCCTCTGGTGTGTGAAGTGACACAAGGTCACTATATGTCTCAGAGCACAAAGACTGACACACACACATACAAACCATAATGAAGCCATGTAATTAATGTAATATAATGAAACTTGTGCATTATGAATGAAAATGTGTTATATTTACAGTAGCAGTGCTCCAGGTGCTCCACACAGGGTAGAAAGCGAAGCATCTCTGCCCAAACAAGAGCCACCGAGGTGGGCATGGTGAGGCTGGGTCCACCCCTACTGACACACAGGTATTAAAACGCATAGCGAGTCATCCTGGTGCATTCACTGTGACAAACTAGTGGATGTAGGCCATGATCTGCTAACCCCTGGACATAGGAACACAGCTTTACCTCTCACTCTAAGGTGGCACATTTGAAACCTATCTAAGCTTCAAACATTGCTTAAGGTTTTTAGGCAGAGATATTCACTCCCAAAATAATAACAATCTGCTGTTATAGGCAGCTTCCTCCTTAAACCCTCAGATGTTACTCTGCTCAGAAAGTTTTAGAAACCAATACACGTTGGCTCTTTGAGGAAGTGTTAGGTTTGGTCTGAAATAATCCATAAAAGCTGTGACACTGGCCACGTATGACCATGACTTTAGAGCACAGGGTTTAGCCGACATTGGTTAACGTCCTAGGATCAGACACTCAGTTTACAGTATATAAGTTTGAATGATCTAAAGTATTTTCTGATGCAATTCTATTTTAAAATTAAGTCAACAATCTGGTTTTGATAATCACTACTCCACTCTTGAAGGGATACCCACATTTAAACTAATTATATTTTGGTTTATGTAGTAAACATCATATGCAGCTTTAAACATCACTTCATACAATTTCTAACCCTGTACCATAGCTGAGATAATAATAACAATAATAAAGACAAAATCATCAACAATAAGTTATTTGAATTGCTTACAACTGTATAAATCAACAAAAGCTATTCTTAATCATTCATTTAATAAATATATTATAGTTGAGCTCTCACATTACTCAATGAGAGTCAAAGAATCTGTCACTAGCTGGTTCAAACTGGTGCTTGTTCCCAGTTCCCTCTAGGCAGGTACTGATGCACTTCTTGCTGGAATGCAGAATTTTGCTGAACAGTTCAGTCATTCCTCGCTGCATCCTGCTCTTCTGCACCTCTATATCTTCTTTCCATTCCTTCTTGTGCCGACGACAGCAGCATCCTCAGCCCATTCTTATGAACGCGATACCTCAGGAACACCTTGAGGGAATTTCTTCAAATTTGGCACAAATTCCCACTTGAACTCAAGGATGAAGTGATTAGATTTTGGTGGTCAAAAGTCAAAGGCCAAGGTCACCATGACTGTCCCATTCCCCTGAATTTGACTGGTTGGCAGAGGCATACAATCACAAAGTGGGAATTCTAGTTTGTCACATTTTATTGTGTTATTTTGTCTCTTTTTCAGTCACTTATTGTTATTGAACTTTAGTATGTAGTGGACACTGGAGATAAAGAGAGGCCATCTGACTGCAGCCTAAAGCTTCATGCAACAGCAGATCCACACTGACCCTCCTGTGCACAGATATTATACAAAACACCACAGCACACTACAGAGAACATTGCTTTGGCTTGAGTCACTCAATGGGACTAAAAGGGGAAAAACATGATGGTGGCATCATTACTTTTAACTGAGCTCTGTGACTTTCCAACAAGACATATTAACAAAACAGAGGGTCCAGAACGGGGGCCCCTGTCCTCCCGGGCCTGTGGGTCTGTCCAGTGATCCATCCTGAATGTCTGTCTTATTGCTATGGACCACAAGCACCTGCAGAGAGTGGTAAAGACTGTGGAGAAGATCACCAGGACTCCACTGCCCTCTCTGCAGAGCATTTACCACTGCAGGGTGTGTAGGAAAGCTGCCTCCATCCTCAAAGATCCCACCCACCCCCAGCACAGACTGTTCATACCCCTAACCTCCAGTTGGAGGCTCAGAAGTGTGAAATGCCAACCACTAGACTGAAAAACTCTTTCTTTTTCTCTGCCATCAGACTCCTATAGACCTGACTCAGGATCTACCTTATGCAATTCCATCTGCACTGTTTACATACTCAGTTTGCACATGAATGATTGCACACTTACTGCTGAGTATTTACACTCCACACCTCCCACAAAGCAAATATTCTCTCTGCATTATATTGTGTTCTTGTTATATTTTTATTTGTTCCCTTCACTTGCTGCTTTAAAGTGCCTTAGATTTGTGATTTTACTGCCTATTTAGATTTGTGTTACTGCTCATCTACTTTATATTTCACTTGTATTTTGTGGCATTCATGTGGACGGCAAAGTAAGAATTTCATTGTACAGGTAAACATGTTTCCTAACTGTGCATATGACATTAAACACTTTGAGCTTACCTGAAGAGGACGGAGAGGCGAACGCCTTCATCAGGAGGACAGGGAAGAGGAGAGGAACCAGCACACGCATCATCATCTACCTGAAACACACAGACATGAAGAACACACCCACCCAGTTATTCATGCAAATACTTGTGTACAAGCGGAAAGTAAGAAAGAATATTTTTCACATCTGCTCCACTGCAGCTCAGAGAAATATTTTTACTTTTATTCTCCAATACATTTATTTGAGTGGGGAGGGGGGGATATACCAGTTTGGATAAATCTAATTAGATCTAAAGGGCTCTGCTGGATTTAGGGAGTTTGTCATATACACGTTTGGAGTCACATTTCATCAATGGGGGCGAGTGGAGAATTTATATATATATATATATACACAGTGGGTACGGAAAGTATTCAGACCCCCTTCAATTTTTCACTCTTTGTTATATTGCAGCCATATGCTAAAATCATTTAAGTTCATTTTTTTCCTCATTAATGTACCCACAGCACCCCATATTGACAGAAAAACACAGAATTTTTAACATTTTTGCAGATTTATTAAAAAAGAAAAACTGAAATATCACATGGTCATAAGTATTCAGACCCTTTGCTGTGACACTCATATATTTAACTTAGGTGCTGTCCATTTCTTCTGATCATCCCTGAGATGGTTCTACACCTTCATTTGAGTCCAACTGTGTTTGATTATACTGATTGGATGTGATTAGGAAAGCCACACACCTGCCCATATAAGACCCTACAGCTCACAGTGCATGTCAGAGCAAATGAGAATCATGAGGTCAAAGGAACTGCCTGAAGAGCTCAGACAGAATTGTGGCAAGGCACAGATCTGGCAAAGGTTACAAAAAAATTTCTGCTGCACTTAAGATTCC